AGGAGCAAGCATGAAGCTCTGAGAGCAAAGGGTCTTCCTCCTTGACCCCACGGTCTCCAAAGCCATCCTTCATCTATGAGGCACTACGCCCAGTCTCTGAGGACAAGGGATGCTGGAGTGCTTTCCTCTCAACACAAAGCCCAGGGGACAGTTCAGAGAGGAAGACCAGACAAGTGTGTTCTATAGAAGTCTCACTTCTATTCCATTATCTGTCCACCCACAGGAATGAAAAATAATGGAGGTCATCAGTGGGTCTTCTATCGGAGAGCTGCTGAGGTTATTGGGAGGACTATTTGGATTTTAAGGCAGGACCTGACTCTGGACATCGGTATTTTCCTATGAGATGGCACCTCACGACCCACAAGATGACTGGGTCATGAGGATGCTGTCCTCACACAGGTGGAGTGTCATCGCAAATTAGGTTCACGGGATTTTGCCTGTCCGTCCAACAATGTGAGGACACAGAAACACATGTCAAGTGGCCTAGCAGGAGACACTAAAGCTACACTTTTATATTAGACTTCACATCTTTCACAATCATGACAAATGTCTGCTTTCAAGCCTGTTTCTACTGTTTGGTTTCACCTTGTGGTTGTCCATTATAGGAGCCCAGAGTGCATCACTTCTTTACAATGTAAAAATTGATCCTAAGTAAAGGGGGTGTCTGAGGAGTCTGAAATCAGGAAAGCTCTGACACAGAATTGGGGTCCACAAACCCCAGAGAAAACCATACCACCAAAGACAGATATCCAGAAACTGTTGAATGAGATGATCCCTTTCCTGTCATAGAAGAGAGAAGTTTCTCTAAAGAAGTGATTTCCTTCATTGGGTTTAACCCTGACAGATCAAAGGCAGAAAGAAACCTACACAAATCACAATCAGAGTGAGCCTCTAGGAGATCCCAGGCAGGCCTAAAACTCAGGCCAGGAGAGTAGATCTCAGTACCTAGAGGAACATGGACACAGAAATCCCAGTCCAAGCAGCACCAAATGGACACCTTACTCCTACCCCAACTACAGTTCTTGTTAGCTGCATGGATCTGCAATATCCACCAGATTCCTGTGCGGAAGGTTGGTCCCTAACTGGTGATGCTATTGGTAGATAGGGCAACCTTTGGGGAGTGGAGCCTACGTGGAGGAAGTAGGTTGTGGCAGGCATGTCCTCCAGAGCGCAGCTTGTCCCCAGCCCCTCCCTCAACCTGTCAGCTGTCTGGCCTCCCCACAGCCCAGAAGCAACACAACTAAAGAATCAAGGGCTAAAACCTCTGAACCACAAGCCAAAATAAGCCTTTAAACCGATTTTTCTGATGGGTGTTTTCACAGGAACAGAAAGCTGACCAAAATGACCAGTGCAAAATGCCAAATCCTACAGCCAGGCAGCCACTAAAGGCCAATGATCTGCTCAGTGTCCATCAGATCAGAGAAAGGAACAGACAAGTGAACAGTAAGATTTGCCTCAGCACCATCAGTATTACTGGGCATCTCCCCTTTCATGACCACCCACGACCCCAAGGCCACCTGGCCCAGACAGCTGGAGCCACGGACACCTGGTCCTCCAAGGCACCCTCTTCTTATCCCAAGGTGCCTTTGGGTACCTGCTGTTCCTGGTCATTCCGAAAGTCTACCTCACCTCGGGAAGACAATATTTAGTCACAACCCCCAAAACAGTCTCAACAGGTGAGCACACTTCACGTGTATTATTTCTTTCCCCTTCGTTACCGTCTCTGACCAGAAGCCACTTGAAGGAACATCAATTCTGGCTTAAAATTTAAGGGTTAACTCTGGCGCACAGTGCATTGTGGCAAGGAAGGCATGAGGCAGCGGGTGGCACTGCATCCAGTTGTGAAGCAGGGCAAGGGCAGGAAAGAGCCAGGGTGATCAAACTTGAACACTTCCTCCCCAGTGACGCCTTTTTCCAGGATAGCTCCACCTCTCAAAGGATCCACAACGTTCCAAACCAGCGCCACCAGCTGAAGACCAAGTGTTCAAACACTTGAGACGAGGAAAGGCAGTTCACACCCAAATCACAATGAGGTTTCACGCACAGGCAGCATGGAAGAGTGACAGCTGTCTCCCCGTGGGATAAACCGGGACCTGGAAATGTGAACGGCCTGACCCTGTCTGGCATGGGTAGAGACCTTGGGCCGAACTCCTCAGGAATAGCTGGCTGCCCCTGTTCTTGCACAGCGGAAGCTGAGAGGCTAGGACCGGCTGTCCCCGCACTAAGCTGGCCTAGCTCCCTCTGCACACATTTCCGAGGAGGGACGGTACCGGGTCCTGAGTAGGCAGCTGCCAGCAGATGGCGCCGCTGTGGACCGCACTACAGAAAGAAGCGTCCTCAGGTTACCCACCCGGTCCATCTCACACTTAGCGTGTGCAATCGCCACGGCACGGCTCTGCATGAACGAGCCAGAAGGGACTGGCGATCTGAAGGCAGAGCGCTGGGTCCAAGGAAAAGCAGCAGAGGTGATGCCTCGCCTCTACGTGCATGCCCTGGCACATATGCACACAGAATCAATGTAGTGCTAGTACAGCGCCAACCCCTGGAGAGCACTCTCCCCCATCCCAAGGTAGCCCAACTGCAAGGAACAGCTAGCTGTGCCAGCCCCTTCCTGGAAACAGTGGCCACTGCCAGCCCCTCAGCCTATGACGGCTGTCCAGTTCAGACACGCACGAGCAGAGACTAGGGATGATGCCTAGAACAGCACAAACCTAAGAATCATCGCATGCCGCTTTCTGGAAGCAGGAGGCTCACCCTGATGCTCTCTGGGTGGGCACAAGGAAGACCCACTGGGCGGGGACCATCTGGTGGCTGCACTGATGACTTCAAGGCAGTGCAAAGCTTCCTGCGTTAATGTGACACTGATCACGGTAGAAGCATGGGATGCCTCAGGAGAACGTGAGGGTGGTTAGAATGAACCCGAGTGAAGGGAGGGGAGACACAGGCCAGAAGACGAGAACGAGCTAATACCGCATCCGGGCCGAACTCCCACAGAAACTGATCTAGGTCCTGTGGCAAAGTTTGGTGGGGAGCTGTGCAACACACCACACTGGGGCACCCTGCAGAGGTGGCAGCCATGGCAATGCTCCAGGGCACTGCTGCTCATACACCACCGGTGCGCTGGAGTGAACGCCACCACGACCCTAGGGCTATGCTGGTCTACCCATTAGGCAAATGTATCTGCACAATGTCATCTGCATCAGGGTCTCTCTCCTGGGTCAAGCCAGTGCAAGGGCCAAGTGGAAAGATGCCTGCACGTCAGGCAGAGTAGGGTTAGCCGTAAGAAGGCAAAAGAGGTGCATGGCTCCTGCGAACAGTGCTGCGAAAGGAAGCGGCAGCCTGTGCAGCCCTGGAGACAGGCCTGTGGCATCTTGGCTCCACAGACGTCTGGACCCAGCCTCGCCCGGTCATGCCAAGGTCTCAAGGAACAAACCTCAGCCAGCACAGAGGGCCTGGCGTACTGAACAAGCCAAGGCTGCAGCACCCAACTCTGCTGGTCACAGCGTCTCTCACAGACGCTGCTGCCCCTGCACCCTTCCAACTGCACTCATGCTGACCGTGCTTCCATCTCAGGGTGTTTGTCTAGAAAATGTCACCAGGTAAGCCCTGGCTTGTGATCCTCTGCCACACTTCAGTGTCTCAACCAACCTGGTACATGACCAGGGAGGTGTGCCCTGTTCTTGAATTTGATCCCCGACCCAGCCCATCCTGGGGATCAGTCACAACGCTGCCTCCAGTCTTGATCTCCTGCCATCCTCTACCCAATCCTTCAGCCTTGCCTACGCCGTCACCCCAAGTCTTCACTCTACCTCTGAGTCACACATCCCTGGCCCTTAATGCCATGCTCCAGAGACGGAGACTGGGTGGTGGCGTCTAGGACAGAATCTCGCAACCGTCAATGTACAGGTAGGTGTCTGGAGAGCCTGTTAAAATGAGTAATTACAGCCGGCCAGGACCACGGCGTCTGTGTTCCTCACAAGCCCAAGGCTCATGGGGCAGCAGGGTTACCAAGATTCTAAGTTCTGTGTGTTAGCCTCAAGGACTGAGGTTTGGATTAATGCCACTTTGTTTGGCCATACATGACTTTTCTTGATCCCTGGTCCCTCCTGGGGTAGTCTCCACTCTGGCACATAGGCAGCACCATGTGCAGAGCTGAAGAGAAACCCATCACCCAGTGCCACAGTGCCCACCCACCTAGCTGAACCATGTCACTCAAGTGTTGCTTTATGAAGCCCTTCCTGGTGGATGCATGAAGTCCCTCGCTCCTTTCTCAGGGACTTCTGGCCTCACACCTTGCTCCTGCTTCAGTCAGAATCTGGATGAGACCGCAGTCATGCAATAGTCTGACAGTGACCTACAACGCTGGCTGTTTGGTGAGAGGGACGTGAAAACACAGAACTTGGAATCTTGGCAGCACTGCGTGCCCCTTGGGCTTGTTAGGAATCCAGACGCCCTGGTCCTGTCTTTCTTACTCTTCTGCACGGCCTGGTCTACCCTGAGATACTTCCTTGAGACCCTGTCCTTCCCCCTGCAGCCATAGGATTCCAGAGCACAGAGGGGCAAGCCTTTTCTGTAAGAATGCTTCCTAGAAGCTGTACATTAACACGTCTCTCCATACAGGCCCTACCCCAAGACTCCTCCCAGCCGAAGCCCGATCTCCTGACATGCAGGTGTGGTCACCAGGGGTGCACCTGGAATCACCAGCCTGCCAGGACTACCCAGCAAGGAGCCCACAGGGCTCTTCACATTCACAGGCTTTCACTGGCCCTACGATCCGGCCATGGTTGCCAATTCCCTTAACAGTGCACAGAACCGAGCATTCTGCCAGTGCAGAGAGAGAGCTGCACCCTGCACCTCCGTGCCCTTCAGCACATTGCACTTCTGCAGGGCCCAAGTCTTCACTCTCAGGATGGCCGATGCGACAGCTCCAGGACTGTCTCCCCAGAGAGCAGACAGGCCGGGCCCTCTCCTCCATGCTGATGACTAAGACCGGAGGAGCAGCTATTTCTACACCTTTATTTCTCTGTGAAGAGTGGGGAAAAGGAATAAAATAAAAATGGCACAGTTGACACAAAACAAACATGGCTGGGGGACGGGTTGAAGGGAGGCATTAGGTGGATGGGGAAGGGTCCCCGTTACAGCAGCAGGAGCCAGTGACCTAGGGTGCTCCCATTTCTCCCCAGTGTGGGAGGAGCAGTTTCCCTTCCAGGGCCGCCGCTCCATCCCACCTTGTGCTGCCCCAGCCCCTTGGGAGGTGGACAGAAAGAAGTCTTCCCAGACGACAGAGAGGAGGAACCGTGCTGAGGGAGGGGCCTGGGGTCAGACCATGCACGGGGAGTGACAGTCACTGGCCCCCCACCACCTCCCCAAGGGAGGTCCTTGGTGGGGTCTGCAGGGTGGACTCCAGAGGCTGGTCATGGTCTTCTTCCAGCATCAGGCAAGAGACAGAACTGGGGAAACAAGGAACAGCAGCTTCAGGGCCACAGCTCTCTGCCCATACATGCAACTCTGCTCCTTTCCCAGGAGCCCCCGTTTTTTGCAGACCACCTCCCACCACCGGCTCCCAAGTCCTTACCAGTCAGAGCCTCCTGGGCAAAGTACTTGACGTCGACATCCTGGTCCTGGGTCAGCTTCTCCAGGATGGGCTTGACTTCACTCTGCAGGGTGCTGCGAGGAGAGGGAGAAAGTGAGCCAGGCTGTGCTGGGGCTCACATGCAGGCTGAAGGCTCCTGTGCAAGGAGGCAGAGAGACAGACGCCACACAAGGACGAAGGAGCCTGCAGCGTACAGGACACGGACACACACAAGCACTCAAATTAGAAATCCCCGAGGCCCAGGGTACGAATATCCCGAAGGCTGGAAGCCTAACAGTTACACAAGGGCAGCTATCTCCAGGGTGGGAACAGGCGGGAGGCACTGTGTGGGACGTGAACACAGAGGACATGAACGCAGAGGGCATACTCCAGTCTTGCCCTTGCAATCTTGGACCAGAGAAACACGGGCCTGACAAATGGATGAGGCAACATCGAACAGGGAACTTCTCAGCCACGAAGGCCAAGCTGCCACATCAGCTATCCTAAGAGGGAAGACCTGGGGCCAGAGCAGGCATCTACTCTCGTCTGTGGGTCACAGGGAACTTGCCTACACTTGAAGGCAGGAAGTTCTCAGAGACAAGTTAAAGGTGTGAGGCTGCGGAACGGAGAGAAATAAGATGTACAGGCAGCAAATACGCTCTTCCAGTGCACAGACAGCTCCCTCCATATGCCCAAGGCTCTCACTGCTCACATTCAGACACACACACTACTAGCGCAAGGGCTGGCCACGCAGACACACACACTGCTAGTGCACGGGCTGGCCATGCACATACACACACTGCTAGTGCAAGTAATATCCACATGACTTCTCGTTCTACAATAGAGAAAACAATTTGTGAAGAGGAAGAGACAGACTAGGGTCACAGAGCAAGGAGGTTTCAAACCCTGGGATCCATCTTCATCAGTCCATGACTCTAATGCCCAGAACAAGCCCCAGGCCTCACCTGTTGTCAAGGATGGGTCCTATCTTCTGTAGGGACTTGGCCACATTAAAGCGGACATTGGCAACTGGGTCTCCAGCCATACGCAGAACTGTGGGCAACATGTGCTTGGTGGTGATGTCCTGTCCACAGACCTCAGACAGCACCTGAGGACCAGTGATTAGCAGAGGGACAATTATGCAAGGCTCACTGCTAAATCCCCAAGTCTCCCTTCTTCTAAGCATACCACCGGCTCATCACATCCAGGAAGAGCTGAGCAACGCGGGAGGATGTGGGTCTAGAGGCACCACTGTAGGGACAGTTTATCCTCCTGCACCTCCCAACTCCCCTAACACCAAGTGTCCATTTGGGGGGCCCTAGCCTCTGTCCTTGGGATTCCTTCCTCCTCAGTGGTCGCAAGGTGATTCCCACCACTGCAGCACCTCCTTAATGCTACAGACTCTAAATTGTGGCATGGGAAGAAATACCCAGAACACTAAGCAACACTGGCTTGTACATCCCACCAGCTTGTGTAGAATGCATGCCAGGACGGCAGGGCAATAATAACCAAAATGCACAGAAAGCATCCTTCCGATTTTGGTATCAGGACTGTCCTATGCCCTCTGCACGTGTAACCCCGGGTTACTTTCCAGTCTGATGAGTTAGGTGTGGCGAATACGAGCAAGACTCCCTCACAGGCGAGACCTGAAGCACTGACTGGCTAGGTACAGAAGGTGGCCAGAGCAGAGCTGGCATGTAACTGCAGTGTAACCCGAGCCACATGCCTGGCCAGTACATCGCGCTGCGTGCCCTGTTCATCAAGAAGCAGAGGGTGCTGCTCACCGACCTCAAGGCTCCCAGCCCTCTCAGAGCACAAGCCTCGGTCCCAAGGCCTGGCCCTGACCCTGGAGCCTGAAGCTGTGGACTGTGGTCCCCCAGGGACCCGCCCCAGCACCCGTCATTTCTTCATTTCCAAGCAGATATCTGGGTAGAGGCCCTTTTCGGCCTTCCTTTCCTGGGGCACTCCAGGTCCCCAGGGGTGGGCTGGCGTGCAGCTGGGGTGCTCACATTGATGCAGAAAAGCGTAGTCATGCGGTGCAGGTAATTCGGGTCTCCAGACATGGCCAAGACCTTGGGGATGATAGTGGCATGGGCCCATTCCTTCCCAAACTTCTCCACCAGCTTCTTCAGGTTGCTGGTGGCTGCTTCCCGGATGGCGTAGACTGCAGCAGCAGAGGGAAGGGGAGGTGACCCAGGGTGACAGGAGGGACACTCAAAGGAGGGGACTAGCAGTCACACTCGCTACTGTTTACTGTGGTCCCTGGGGCCACAGGAGCCATTGAGCTCAGCCAAGGAGAAGAATGGGGCACGCTGCACTTCCTCTCACAGCGTCCCCTGACCAGTCCAGGATTTGCAAAAGCCATGTACTTAGCACACACTACTTTGAACTGCCTGGTGGAGAACACAGCGCCCTTGGTTACAACGAGCCTTTTCCTACTGGCCCAAGACTGGGATGAGAAGCCTCATGTTTTGGGTGAGGGGACAGCTGTACGAGGCCAAGTGACCAAAGGCTCCACAGACAGACGTGGGGCAGTCAAGCCCTGCTCTCTATGTGGTGGGCCTCAACTCCACCATCAGGCAGCCCTTAGGAGACCCGCTACCCCCACCCCCCACTCCACAGTTCTCTGGGGTCCTTAAAAACTTGAGTGGGTCTAGGTGAGCACCCACAGCAGTCCATCTGTCAGTCCTTGGGCTGCTAATCCTTCAGCTATCCTGTTGGAGAGACTCACCATGATCCACCAGCCAGGCCATGCATAAAGAGTTGAGTTTCTCATCAAAGAACTCCACACCCTGCATCAGAAAAAGACTAGTCAGGGTCCAGGGAAGGATGGGCAGACAGGTGCCAGTGATCCCATGGAGAGTGGACAGTTTCCAGTCCAGCAGCTGCTTCTTTCATCCTCCATCTATCTAAATTCTCCCTACCTGCTAAAGACCAGCTTCCTGGGTTCAGTCCTCCAGTTCCCTACACAGCTGTCACTGCCTATACTGAGCCTCGGAAGTCCCCAGGCACACTACTGCATCCCTAATGATGAGCCGTGACAGGACCTGGCAGTCTACAACCCCAGGGGCAGCATGGCTGTCACACTTACCAGCTGTCCAGCCAGCAGGGGCATGTACTCAATGATGGCCAGGCGCACTCGCCACTTGGCATCCTCAGCCAGCTCCACAATGGCAGGGAGCAGGGACTGTGAGAGCTGCCGGATGCCAATCACCTCATTCACACAGTCTAGGTTGGAAATGATGTTCAACCGCACCTCGGGGCACTGGGGAAAGGACAGGAGGGTCAAGAGAATGCACTGCACACAGCACCCCAAGACAGGGTCAAAAGAGCCCAGAAGAATCTGAACATTACCATCACGTCCTGGGTGCCCACTGCCCAAACCAGCTCCTGGTCCTGGAGCCATGTTACAGGCACACCCAAATCAAGTAACACGGACTATGAAGTAAGCAGCTCGCTAAATCCTACAACATCACAGGGCATGTTAAGCTGTTTTCAAAGAATGTGCAGGAATCACAATGAAAAATAGAACATTGTGGGACGTGACTTTGCTTCTGGCTCTGCTGCCTGCCAGGCCTCAGACAAGGGCTCCTTTCTGCTGTCAGCCTGCAGCATGAAGGCAGAGGAGGCTCTGCAGCCTGGCAGGGGAGCCACTGACTGACACACTGTGATGGGCTAAAGGTACCTGGTGCCTGGGACACAGGGACAAGCGTGGGGGACGCAGTCTGTACCCTTCATGTTATTTCTATGCCCTGCTGCCTAAACCCCACCCGAGGAACACATCTCTGTATTTGTTTCCAGTAGCCAAGAGTTTGGGGCCCACAGTAGGTATTCAGTTCATGTCTGAAAGAATAAAGAAATATATCCTGGCTGGGTGTGGTAGTACACGCCTGTAGTCCCAGCACTTGGGAGGCAGAGGTAGGTAGGTCTCTGTGAGTTCAAGGCCAGCCTGGAACACGGTGAGTTCCAGGCCAGCTGGGGCTACAGGGAGACCCTGTCCAAACAAACAAACAAATGAAATATATTCTGAATGGTTGACTCTAGTAGTATGTGTTCTGATTTACAGCACGTACTCATACACACCCAGTCTTCTCCCACAGAGCCAACAAGCAAATCTACAGGAAAACACACATGAACACTTAGTCCTGGTGCCTTTGGGGCACAGGCCCCACTGAGAAGGGAAGATCGACTCCTCTGTAAAAGCCAGACACAGGATGAGCTCCTGTTTTCTGCAGTGCCGGAAACAGCCTGGGACTTGCACCTCAGCACAACTTGACTCAACTTCCCTTTCTCTAAAGACCTGTGGAGCAAGAACTGGCCATGAGGCCATCTTTGTCCCAGTCTTGGGAAAAGTGCAACTGTGCACATGTTTGTGTACAATCAGACACTGGGACACATCATGAAAGTGCTGTTACAGAACGCCAATGAGGGGCTGGATGGTTCAGTGGTTAAGAGCACTGGCTGCTCTTGCAGAGGGCCCGGGTTCAGTTCCCAGCACCCACATGGCAGCTAACAAGGGTCTCTAACTCCAGTTCCAGGGATTCCACGCCCTCTTATGACCTCTGCAGGCATTGCACGACACGGGTGCACTTACATACACGCAGGCAATACACTCATACACATAAAATAAAAATAATAATAATATTAAAGAACACCAAGGAACAGCATCACCTGTCCAGGCTGGCTCTTCCTGGACCCCAGAAGCCCTTCTGGGCTCCCCACAACCTCTGGCCACTGCACTGATTTTTCCTGACACAGTGGCTACAGGGTTCTCTCCTGACACAGATCTCTCCCAGGTCAACCACTTGCCCAAAGATTCAAATCCAATTTTCTTTCACCAACTGTCACCCTAAGGCCCTGTTTTGATCTCTGTAGTCAAGGCTACCCGAAGAGCCAGCTGTGGTCATATGAGTGGCCATGGGTCATTTAGAAGTCACAATGGTCTCATCAACGGGAAGACCAGACCTACCACCAGCTGGTGCCAGATTCTTCACCAGAGACTGGAAGAGAATGAAAGATGAGCTATGGCCTAAGACAAAGAGACCCAAGTCAGCAGGAACGGAGGGACCTCAGGAACAGCAGGACCACAAAAGGGATGCAATCTTGACTTAAGTCACTGCATTTTAGGATCTCTAGTGTGCCATCCTCACCTGAACCCTAACCATAACCCATCTGCTCCAGTACCTAGAGTGTCTTAGTGGACCTATGAGGTTACCATCTACACCTATGAGGTTACCATCTAACCTATGAGGTTACCATCTACACCTATGAGGTTACCATTTAACCTATGAGGTTACCGTCTACACCTATGAGGTTACCGTCTACACCTATGAGGTTACCGTCTAACCTATGAGGTTACCGTCTAACCTATGAGGTTACCATCTAACCTATGAGGTTACCATCTAACCTATGAGGTTACCATCTACACCTATGAGGTTACTGTCTATACCTATGAGGGTACCATCTACACCTATGAGGTTACCGTCTACACCTATGAGGTTACCATCTACACCTATGACATTACCATCTAACTTATGAGGTTGCCATCTACACCTCCCTATAGCCAGACAACCATGGTCTCTTGAGGTCCTCAACTGCGTGACCAAGAATGAGTGCACGTGGACATTCACGTTCGTGACCACCTCAGCAGGAGTGTCTGCTGAGACTCTGACACTGCTGGCCCACCAGGTGAGAGCAGCAGCAGTGCAGACAGAGCTGCAGACTCCTGGCTTCTCTCACCTCGTCCTTTAGCTGAGCCAAGAAGAGGGGCAGGAGGTGCTCGATGGTGTTGTCCTTGCCCAAGATGGGAGAGAGGCCCATGATGACCGAGGCCAGTGCTGACTTGACGTGCTGGTTGGCATCTGACACCAGCTCCTAGGGAGGGGAAGGAAGGAGCAGACAGGCTCAAGAAAGCCCCCAGAGAGGCAAGTGGCCATACCAACACCAGCCCTAAAGTTGAGACCAAGGCTGGGCTTGCTACTCCCACACAAGAGGGCACGAGGGGCACACTCCCTTCTTTACACATCCTCTCTCAGAGTTCTGTGACCCTGCTCCCAGCAGCCACTGTTGGTTCCAAACACTGTGGAGGAGGGAACTCAGTAGCCTCTGAGGGTCAGTACCAACCCTCGGATTTCCCATGGCCAGAATCCCTGATGGTTAAACAGGCCTAGTGTGTCCCTAAGGGGCTGAAACCTAGCTTGGTTCTGATTGTACCCAAAGCCAATCTTCACCCCCTCTGTGACAGCTCAAATCCTACAACCAAGCACCCCATTACCTTGATGCAGGGCAAGATCTGTGTCATGATCACATTCTCCCGGCAGTCAGCTGAGAGATTTTCACAGAATTCTGTGGAAGGGACAGGAAGGTGCTGGTTAGACTGGCTGTCCTGGTCTGACCTCTGCCCCCTTGGACACCCACCCACCTTAGCTGTGTTCTGGTTGCCAGCACCAACCTTTGACCTTGTGGGAGGCTGCGGCCCTCACCTCGGCCTCACAGTCCTTCATCAGGTTCTGGAAAGCAGGTACCAGGTCTGTCTTGGTGATCTCGGGCCCCACAGCCTTCTGAAGCTGCATGCAAAGGGAAAAGGAACAAGAGGCAGCGAGAGTGAGAGTCACTTTGTAATTACAATGAAACAAGGCTGAAAAGAAGACACATAAACCCCGCCAGTGTCAAGGATCCAAGGATCCAAGCTGGCTGTGGAAGAGCAGTGGGGGCAGGTGGTTCACACGGAGAACCAAACAGACAAGAGATGGCCTGGGTGTGTGTGGGGGGGGAGCTCTGGCTACCTCTGCAAATGCCGTCTTTTATTTACCAACAGTCACTCACTTGCTTCTGCTATGAGCTGAGCAGAGTTTCAAGAGCCTGAGGTCCCTGTCCTCCAATGCCTGGGTCAGCCCATTTCCTGTGCTCAGACAGAAGGACCAGGGCCCCTGGCACCCCACCCCTCAAGCCTGTACTGTGGTGCTAAGCCCTTCAGCGTGCATACTTCTGCATAGCAATATCTCCAACATCTTCACTGGGCTCAGAGAAACGGTATTTGGGGCTGGGTGTTCCAGCAAATCCCAGTGGGGTAAGCATCATCACCAGGGGGAGCCTCTCTGATCCAACTCTCCTGCCCCCCTCTCACTGAGCCCCACATGTAGCTGTGCATGCTTACTCTCTCTTCCATCCTCTGCACACGCTGTTGTTTTGCTGAGATATGGTTCCTGTCCTAGCTCCCACATACTCATCCTCCACAACCAGCTGGAGCTCCTCCTCCTCCTCCTCCTCCTCCTCCTCCTCCCTCTCCCCCTCCCCCTCCCCCTCCTCTCAGTGCCACCAGGGCCCCTGCACCTATGCACTCAGCTCCAGGGACACGCCACACTACTTTCTCTTCATGCTGACCTGAGCCCCCTCCATGAAAGCCAGGACATCATTGCACCCCAGGACCTCCACCAAAGGGAGTGGGAGTGCAACCACAGCCCGGTGGTAGTTTACCGAACACGTGGAAAGCCCTGGGTTCAATCCCAGTACTGAAGGATGAGCGAGACATGCTTGTGCTACAGGCTGAGGAAATCTGGACCCCAGCTAAAGAGTACCGCCCTGTCTGTCAGGTATCAGGGTCTTGTCCCTGTCCTAGCCCATGGCACTGCTCTGATCACCAACCCTTGAGAGTGTTTTATCTTAGGAAAGGCTCATAAAGATAGGGAACACTCTTCCACAGAGCCTAGACTTGGCATGTCCAGTCGCCATATCAAACACCCAGGGCTGGTGCAGGCAGTGAGATGCAACAGAGAGACCCACACAGAGACCATATGACTCAGCAGAGGGCTGCGCTGGCCTTAGCATGCCAACCCTCATGTGTGGTGCCCTCCTTCCCCTCATAAGGCCTCAGTGACCCCACCCATGAGACCACATGTCAACCTACCTCTGTGAACTTGTCAGCCACCATGTAGCGGACACGCCATGACTTGTCTTCGGCAGCCTGGCGCAGGGTGGGCATTACCAAGGCCTCCAGGTCCTCCTGGGGCAGAAGCTGGGCGATATTCACACACGCCTCCACCGCCAGCAGCCGCACCGAGTCCTGGAGAAGGGATGGGGAAGCAGGTGGCCACTGAGCTCTAGGGTTCCCTTTCCTGGGCAGGCAAGGGCAGGGCAGAGCTGGGGATTGGCGCACCTGCTCGTCAGAGGCCAGGTTGGAGAACATGGGGATGACCTCACTCTTGACATTGTCCAGCTCCAGCACCTTGGCAAACTCCCCCAGCTTGGAGGCTGCGGCCCGCCGCACCATGGGGGTGTCGTCTGAGCACAGGTTCCGGAAGTACCTGGGATGGAGGATGGGGCTCAGCAGAAATCCTAGGGACCCCTGGGCAGCAGGCAGCATGGCAGAGAACACTGCTGACTGCAGATACTCTGCTGCCAGCACTGACCACGTGATCTTGCACAATTTGTGGCCCCTCTGTCCTCCAGTCTATAAAATGGGATGGGTGTCAACCCCCCAGGGTTGACAGGACAATGTGACGGAACAATACATGGAGATGTTTGAACAGCAGGATCCACACACAGTGGATGTACTGAAGACTGATTAAGGCCACGGAGAGTGTGCAACTAGAGCACTGCTGAAAGGACTTCCTTTTCAGGAGCAACTGCCTCAGGGACATGGAGACTGACGGACAGACACCCATGTGCATGCAGAGCTATCAACCAGTACTGTGGAGTCATAGCTCGGGATCTGGGCTTGACATTCAAGTGTAATATAGCAGATGGCCGCAAGGCAAATCTACTGAGAGTCCTAGACCCAGGGCAGCGAGACAACAAGATGACAAGTTTGCTGAATGTTTTATGTTCTCCACTCTGTTCTGCACATGCCATGTGTAACCAACCATTCTTTTAAATCCCCACAGGAACCAATGGCCCAAATCAATTTCCACTGAGGCAGACTGGGCAAATTACCCTGCGGGGTCCAGAGACCACCATCATGGACAGGCCTCTGAGAAGTGATGAGAGGGAGCCAGGGAGCTCAGGGACCTTGGGCCCTGGGTAGACCTGGGGGCTGAGGCTTCAAGAAGGTAACAAGCAGCTGGGGGAGGCAGGCTGCCAAGTAGCAGGTGAGGACTCACTGTCGAAGTTCTGCCTTCACAGCACTGGACACTCGGGGGTAGCAGACAGAGAAGAGGCCACAGGCCGAGGTGCGGGAGGTGAACCAGTCTCCACCCGCCAGCCGCTTCACCAACGGCACAAAGTGAGCCTCCAGGTCGGAAGGCGAGTGCTCGTGTGAGATGGCCCGTAAGGACTCCACTGCCTTGTCTCGAACCACTGTCTCCTCCACTGTGGCCAGTGACTCCAGCGGTGGCTGTGGTGAGAGGACAGGGTCAGCAGACAGTGTTCTCCCACAGTCTCCCCTCTGGGAAACACCCTCATGGCTCTTCTTGGGCTCATCTGAGACTCCTGACCACCCCACCCTACCATTTACCCAACAAGCCTCCCAAGAGGATCCTTGAAAACGTCACTGGGGTCCATGAACCACTTTTCAGACGGAGCCCATGTGAGCTTTGCTCTAATGTGCAATTGTCACTGCTGATGTTGGCTGAAATATGCACGTGCTGTGCGTCAGGCAAGGCTGCTGTACTGCTCAGAGGCAGGGCACTTCCTGTACCCAGAGGACTCCAGGAGGCAGGATTCACACTGGTCTCATTATAAAGGCAAGTACATTATAAAGGCCATGTAACATGCTGAGCTGGGAAGAGCTAAACACCCAGATTCAAAGCACCTCTTGGCTCTGCTCCCCATGTGGCAGGTCCTGCTGGTTGGTATCCGACCCTGTGCTTCTAGCTGTCACCGATCAGGTTAGAAATGCACAGGAAGCAGCACAGTGGGGCCTGGTGGAGTCACACAGCCTTGGCACCCCAGTTCTGCAACTTACTAGCCATGTGATCTGGAGGGGATGCTTGGCCTCCTGACATTCTAGGTGGATCAGCTGCCAAAGGACTTTCTGACTGAGAGGGTCAGATGTGACACCTTACTCCAGTCACAAGGGTAGCACCTACCTGATAGTCCTTACTTTGTTCCACGTGCTGTGTGACAAGGGACACAGAGAGGTTAACTCTCTGAAAAGTCATGTAGGTGGTAAAGCCTAGCCATCTCAAATCCATAGTCCTGCATGTGGGTGCCAGCTGGCCCTGCTGTGCGTCAGGAAGGAGGAGGGAAAGCCAGTTCTGGACCCAACGCTACTACTGCCTTGGGTTAAAATGGTACCTAAAGGCCCTGCATTCTGAGGTGGGCTCCAGCCCCCCTAAGTCCTGCCCTCCCTGGCTCCCACGGGCAGAAGCACAGTTCAGACTCACGGTAGAGAGGAGGGAAGGGGACTTCCCTGCGTTCAGACTCACCAGCAGGCAGTGTACATACTCAGGGCCTCCCACCAGAGTGGTGAAGGTTCCCAGCTGTTCCGCCAAGGCCAAGAGTACCTCATCTTCATCATAGATGGTGTCTGTGGGACCGAGACCAGCTCTATTAAATACCTAACAAGACCTGACCCCCGGCCTCAGCAACGCAAGCTCTGAACAAACACCACTTTGCTTCCTCACTGTCTGGGCCCAGCATCTCTGTCTGCTGCTCTGTCATGCCACCTGGGGCACAGGGACCACTACTTTCTCTGCCTGTGCTAGACGTGGGATGGGGGATGAGCAGTACCACCGAGCCCCCGTTCTGGCTCCCTCAATGAGGAGAAAGTGAGACCACGAACATGCAGCATGGGGTGTGCCAAAGGGAGCTTCTGCTCACAATGGCTCCGTCAGGACCCTCCCTCCTCAGTCAGGACTTTCTTCTCTACCTCACCAGACTTGGTTCAGCATTGCTTCTTGCAGAACTCCCAAGAACTCCTAGACTAAGTCAGGCGCTTTCCCTGGACTCATCCCCTTCCTTCACAACCACCTTTACCAGCACCCTGGTCAGAGGCTATGACCGACCACACCAAGGATGACTCCTGTGAGCCCCAGCTCCTGCCAAGAACAGGAAGTCTGTACTCCCCAAACTCCCAGGCCTCCCAGGCTCCTGCCTTTCCTCCCAGGGCTGTGGGAACTGCTGACCTCCAGCAGAGTAGGCAGAGTCACTGACTGTTCACCAGCATTTAAATGCCCTTGACCTTGGACTTGCCATGAGGAAGCCAAGCATAGTAGTCCAAGGAGAAGCCTGGCCCAAGTCTACTGACACCCTGATTTGATGTCCGGACTTCAGAACTGCAGAAACACTGCTGCTTGAGTAGCACCTTGGTGGCAGTGTGTCCCTCTCAGAAAACTCATTCTGAACGTTCTGCATATGTGCACTCAGAGGCCTTCAGGTTGTGTTACCTGAAATAGCATCGCCTGCCTTGAAAGGCCCAATTCTTCCTACCTGGATTATTAGTGTTAAGGTATCACACATAATTCTAAAATAATCATACAGGAGATATTTACCTACAAAACTCAGTAAATCCTCCTGGTCGCTCTAGCCTGCACTGTGATCATTCTGATGTTGCGGAGGAAGCAGGCACAGCCAAGTCCTACCTGTAGTCTGGCTGCAGGCTCTGTGTTCTCAGCCACAGCCTCTCCACTAGTCCTCCAGCTACTCCTCTTCCTCACCCACCCTCTCAGCACAAACTCTACACATCCATAAGGCGTTCCTACACCTCACACCTCGTCCTAGCAGCTATCCACAATGGCGCCTTGCTCCATCCCGAGGACTAACCCTCAGTGGCTCCATATGTTACTTAAAGCCTGCAGAATCCACCCTATTACCAGCTACCTACCACGTCTCTCCTGGTGGCCCTGCCTCCACTCATGACTTTGATTGGTCACCCTCACCAGTGGCCTTCAGGCACTTCCTCTAACCCACAGCACCTACCAGACGATTCCTGCAGAACAGGCTGCACAGAGTATTCCACCCTCTCCACGGCTCCCAGAACAAACATCTGAGCCCCAGAGGCGGCCAACTCCCAGGCTGTAGCAAAATGGCACAGCTGCTTGTTTCTAACCCAGGTTCCTTTTCCCTGTAACGTTTAACCATGTAACTATTCTTCGTACCGACCCACTGCCCCACAACCTGTCCCTGCATCCAAAGCTTTGGGGCCGTCTGTTCATGCCACACACGGACACCTGCTCAGGCAGTCTTCAGAGTCACACATGAGCATGTGGTCATTAGCTGTGCCACTGTGGGCTAGTCACTGAACCCAGATAGGCCTCAGTTCCCCACAGGTCGGATAGAGGTGGGGCAAGCATCTGGGCCTGCCACCTCTCCAATACAATCACTCTAAACCTCCAGCTGCCATGTGACCAGCAGTGAGTGTTGGGGATGAAGTGAGAAGAGCGAGGACAGAAATCCGGTGAAGATGACCACACTGCTACCTCATACACAGTGCACCTGGGAGGAGCTAAGGACCAAGCCCAAGCAGCATCCACAGGCCTGGCCATTACCAACCCCTACGCGAGCCTTATTTAATCTTCAGGAACAGGAATATACCTATTTTACCCATCAAGCCTCTGAGGCAGGTGGATGTGATGTATCCTGCCCAACGCCACAGTCCTGGAATGCAGGCAAGTTTGGATTTGTCACCAGGCAGTTGGGACATCAAGTCTTCACAGTGAACCAACACTGCCAACTTTGGAGCCAGAATATAAAATTCCCTCAGTCACCTCCAAATGGACAACCTCAGGCAAACAAATCCCTCCCTTTCTAAGCCTAGTCTCCTCATCTACGGAACAGCGGCAGGGGCATTCCCTGCCTTAGGTGCTGCGGCCAGACTGGGAGGACAACAGTGCTGATGGACATGTAAGAACACGGGCACCACCGGAACCACCTTGTGAGTGAACTTGGTCTCACAGAGCAGCCCAGCCATGGCTTGGCACAGGGCAAGCATGTAGGAAGTGCTCCCAGTTATCACTGATTTCTCATGTTCACAACAACAACCCACTTACAGATGCAAAGGACTAGAAACCTGTCTAACCAAAGTGAACAGCTAATCGTTGAGGCTGAGATTCAAACTGGGCTCTAACTGCCCCAGACGCCTTCCACCAGTGCCCATCATTCCAGACCATTCTCTGAGGAAGGCCTGCACTTGGCCTCCTGTGGAGCCCTGCCCCCATTCCACAGGGCACAAGTAGATCTACAATTTATTAAATTACAGTGAGGCTTCTGGCTCACCTACCAAGAACCACCCAATCGTCCTCACTGTATCTGGACCCCACAGATCCTTACCTGTCAGGAAGGGCAGGAGCTCGCTGCGGGTCCTTTCAACCCCAAGGGCCAAGGCGATGGTGGAGAGCTTCTTGATGCTATTGAGACGAAGCTAAGGAGAGAACAAGCAAAGGAGAGTATTTGGAATCTCAAACTCAGAATAGCTCCACAGCCTGGAACCCATCAGATCCATCCCTGGAAGGCTTGCTACTGTGCATGAAGAGGACCAAGCAATTCTGGTCACGAATAAAACTCAGGAACAGCAATGGTAGCAAGGGAAGGCAGAATCTCCCCTGGGTCTTTCAGAGCCCAACACCTGTCCAAGTGTACTTTGAAGTTCACTAACAGACTGCACCCCATATCCCCAATTCCTCCTCTCTGCTCTATGCCCCACTTCTGCAGGAGCCACAGACTGACATGCTACACACACCTGACAGCAGCTACATCAACGGCATGTTTATACTAGGCCAGGTCCTAAGCTAGGTATGCCCACCCACGATCTCATGGGACTCTGACAACAATCCCGTGAGGGAGCGTGTCTCAATCCCATTCTACAGAGGCAAACTGGCTCAGGAAGCAAGTGGGGACTGGGCTGGGAATGTGGGCCAACCGACAGTGTCTACCAAGTAGGCACAAAGCCCTAAATTCAATCCCAGCACTGCAGAGATGCAAAGTGGTGGCACAGCCCTCTAATCGCAGCACTTGGGAGGTAGAGGCAAGTGGAAAAGGGAGCATCAAAAGTTCAAGGCCATCCCGAGTACAAAGCAAGTTCCAGACAGTGGCAGCTATGGGACCTGTCTCTAAAACAGTAAACAATCTGAAGTCTATTTTGTCAGATATTAGAGTTGTAACCTGCTTGTTTCTTGGTCCCATTTGCTTGTTACTTTCTTCCATCCTTTCACCCTAAGGTAGTGCCTGTCCTTGAAGGTGAGCTTCCCATGATAATAAAAAGATAGGTTTTGTTTCTTAATCTATTCCACTAGCCTGTGTCTTTGGACTGGGGAGTTGAGGCCATTGCTATTTAAGGGTATTATTGAAAGGAGTGTATTAGTTGCTGTCACTTTAATGTTTGTGTTCTTGGTGCACAAACATAAGGAAACAGACTTTCAGGTCTCTGGGAACTTGCAACAATGGCTTCAGCATGAACAAGACCCATGCTGACTCAATCAGACAAAAACCTGCACAGAACTGGGGAAAGGGGCAGCAGGCCCCAAGCTTAGCTGAGGAACTATTGGCAACTGATTACTGCTGGATGAGGGAGAGATGATCTTCTTTAAGGGAGTGACGACTCTAGATAGTCTGACTAGACTTCAGGGGATGAACTTGCACCAAAAGTCTGACCAGATAGGCCTTAACATATGACAGAATTCATGAAATCCAGTGGTAGTAAGGGGTGGTTTTGGGGGGGGTTACTGGAGGAGGAGGTCTAAATATGATTAAGATTTGTTGTATGAAATGCACAAAAACACAGTAAAAATATTCATTAAAAAATAATGAGGCTGGAGAGATGGCTCAGTGGTGAAGAGCACACTGACTGCTCTTGCAGAGGACCCAGGTTCAAGTCCCAGCATCCCCATAGCAGATAACTGTCCCTCAATTCCAATTCCAGGGACTCCAACCCCCTCTTCTGATCTCTGGGTTCAATTCTTAGCACCCGTGTGTTGGCTAACAACCATCCCTAACTCCAGTTCAGGGGATCCAACTCCCTCTTCTGATCTCTGCGGACACTGCACAACACAGGAGCATATACCTACATGCAGGCAGTACATGCAGACACATAAACATAACAGATAATTTAGTCAGTGTGGCTAACAGTGACAAGAAAAGGACCAACGTTAACATCACCCTAAGAAGGAAGCTAGGCGTATGGGCACACAACTGCAACCCCAGCACTCTGAGGCCGAGGCAGGAGCATCCAGAGTTGGAGGTGAGCTGCGCTACACAGTAAGACCATGTCAAAAATAACACCTTACTAATGCTCCCATGAGCAACCTTAATTAAACCCATTGGGTCATTCTGAGAGAGGGAGATGGAGGGGGAGGGAGAGCGAGAGAGCGAGCGAGCGAGCGAGAGAGAGAGAGAGAGAGAGAGAGAGAGAGAGTGTTAGAGTTGGGAAGAAGGAAATTAGCCAGCAGGAGTGGGGGGACAAGATTGTAACAGAGATGAAATGATCAAAATACATTATACACAAGTAGGAAAGTGTTACAATGAAATCATTGTTATGTAATTAATATGTTAATAAAGAAAACAACAAGAAAGCTAGAACAGCATTAACTGTGAATAACAACATTAGCCTAGCGGGACTGAACAACGACCTGTATTATCATCAATAAATCTGAACATACTTGTTCACGTATGTTTTTCCTCAGTTTCTGGCTTGTGACTCTGTCAGGGTGGGCCATAGGCACTAGGATCTCTCCTGTCCAAGGCGAGTCACAGACTCTACGCAACCGTCCCTGCCTTTTTACCTCGCAGATAGTAAACTGCAATAGCCCATGTCAAAATGCATCCTGTCCCACACTCTGGAGGAACACTGCAGGAGCCAACAGGCAGGTTTCCTCAACCAGCCAATCAGCACTAACTAGACCATTCCCTCTCTGTCTGACCACACTTGGACACAACTGTAGGGCACCGGCACCACATCTGCCGTGGGATTGGACACTGCTTGCATGTAGACAGCATCAGAACTGATTTGGATGACAGAGCACGGGCTAAGCCCAGAGCACTGGGGCTGTGCTGCAGAACTGACTGGCCACTAGTGGAAATCATTGCACTGTTTAGGATCACAGGACTCTCTGGACTGTCGTGTGAGAGCAGAGGAAAACCACTAGTACTGGCGAATGTGAAAACAGCATCCTTGCTGTGTTTCAGTAAAGCACCGAAGATGAGATCGTCCTCAATTAAGAGTTGGTCCTAGACCCAATGAGTGTCCTTGTAAGCAACAGAAATGAAGACACTCACAGAAGGCATGCTCATGGGTGTGTGTGTGTGGGGGGGGGTATTAGGGTGGCACATCCACAAGCCAAAGAACACCAAGAATTACCAACAGCCCTGCAAAGGTAGGAGAGCTGTATAGAACCTCCAGGCAATCCTGGCCTGTGGAGACCTTGACCCATGACAGGCTTCTGATCTCCAGAATCAGACATAGGGTAACTTGATGTTCTTCTTAGAGCACTTTTAAGATCTACTGTTAGAATGACAGGCAGTTCCTGACTTTGGACTTCTGGCCTCCAGAACTGTAGGGCACACATCTGTGTGTGGCGAGCTACAGCAGCCCTAGAGAATGAATGTTTGGCTAACACATACCTGGTCTGTCTGGCTTGATGTATTTACATGATAAGTTCTCACTTGATTGTCTCCACCCCTTGGGAGGGGCAGAAAACTTGTGACCAAGTCGCTCTACAAAAATCCCAGGCTCAGAAAAGGGGAGAGCTGCCTAGACCAGTGCTAGGAGTGCAGTGCTCAGAGTGCTGGGGTCCAAATCAGCTGTTCTGACTGCAGGCTGACTAGGACACTCTCCCCAAGTGTGTCTTCATCTCCACAAGGTGTTTTTTTTTTTTTTTTTTTTTTTTTTTTTTTTTTTTTCTTTTCTTTTCTACCTAGCTCCACAGCTGTCCCAACAATGTCATGAGGTAACACTACTGAGTGGAAGGTAATGCCTGAGTGAGCAGTGATGATGACCACACAGGGGATCCTCTTCCTGGAAGGATCCAGAACAGGAAAGAGGCTGAGGGAGAGAGGTGGGGGATGGGCTCCATCCACCTGTTCTGTGCTTTAATATTTGTGCTGATTCTTTGAGAATTTCACACAACACATTTTGATCATATTCAGACCCCCTCATCTCCTCTGAGATCCATCCCCGCCCCCACTTCATGTTCCCTTTAAAAAAAATGCCTGTGGAGTACAATTGTACCTGTTCTTTGTTCAGGCCCCAGTCAACTGGGAAGAGGTCTGCAAATGCTTGAGATCCTGCACAAGTACAGGTCTCGGGTCAGGGCCTTTAAAGGTCTCTTGTCTCAGAGACAACACTGAGAATTCTGATAAAGAGCTGGCATAAGACTGTAACCCCAGTGCCTGGGAGACTGAGGCAGGAGGATCCTATGTTTCAAGTCAGTCTGTGCTTTACCATGTTTCAAAAGCAAAGCCCCCCCTCCACTAGCCAAAAAAAGAAAAGAATGTGTATATCAAACTTTGCATTTGACATCACCATGCCTTTTGGACTAATGGAAAGAAGCTCAAAATCTCATTTTGGCAGTAAAAATACCTCAGAATGAAGCATTCTAAGATAAAAATTTTATTTTCAGCCAAAAGATTAACCGTGCAGAGATATATCTATGAAAGGGGTAGAAACCAAACATGGCAAACACTAGCAACCACTGGATCCAGGTATTCAGACTACAGGTGCTCAGTGCACTGTCCCGTGCCCAGCAAACTTGTTCCACAAATGACCAGTAAGCATTCTCCCTGTGGACCACATCTCTGGATGCCACAACTTAACTCACAACACCACAGCAACCAGGGAAACAAGGCATTATGTAAACAAACATGGTGCACCAACAAAACTTTATTTACAAGAACAGGTAGTGCTGAATACGACCCGTAGGCTGTGCAGATTCTGCTGGCCCAAGTACTAATTTCCTAATGAAAAGTCCTGCCTGAGCTTTTTCAAATGAAATACTACAAGGATTTTTTTTCAAGTCAGGCAGATGTTTTGTGCTTCTCTCTCAGTGGGGTTAGGGAAATGCATGCATGGTCAGGAGTAGCACTGGCCGCTGAGGCGTAGCAGCCCTGAGAACAACGGGATGGTGTCTGGGAACAATCACAACCACATTCTGCCAGGAACAATAGCATTTCATATCTACTGACTGCTTCCTGTGTGTTCCACATAGATAATCAACACTGGGCACTGAATTCTGAGGCCTCTTCTAGAATCACCATTTCATAGTAGAGGGTACTGACGCAAAGGAGCAGGTACCAAGAAGGATGCCTAAGAGTGAGGCTCCTGAAAATCAAGCCTCCACTAAAGGTGGGACGCTGTCCTTGGATGCTCTAGTTTACCTACATTCACTGCTGAGCTATTCTGAATTATCTGCAAGATTTCAGGTCATCTTCACCCAGTAAGGCCCATGAAGGGCTTCTGATCTCCAGAATCACAGAATAACTTGATGTTCTTTTTAGAGCATTTTAAAGATCTACTGTTATTTTTAATTGTGTGTGAGTGTGTGTAAGTGCATGAGTGAGGGGCTGGGATGACAGGCAGTTAGTTCTGAGTAGCCCAACATGGTTTCCGGGAACTGCACTGACTGCTGAGCCATCTCCCCAGCCCAGCTTTATGTTCTAAATGTACAGCAATCTGTTCCATCAACCAGAGGAAACGCCCACAATGACCAAAGATAACCAGGTTCCTTATTGCCTTTGGTGACGGTCTCATCAGACTGCTTCCTTCAACCTCAGCACTCAGGCCTTGGAAGTTGGACCTTTTGGCTGTGTGGGTTGGTTGCTCTAAGCAGGGCCCGCCGGTGCAAGAGCATTCTTGACCCCATCCACTAGAGGCAGCAGCAATCTCCCAGTTATGTCAGCCCAAAATGTCCCCCCATAGGGCAAAACCACCCAAGTTCAGAGCTCCAGCCACTACACGCATACTCGGGCTTTCTGGACGGCTCATCCCCACTCTCCTCCCCTCCCAATCTCAACCTTGGTGTCCTTGAAGGAGCCTCTCTTGGCTGGCCCAATTTCCCAACCCACCATCTACTAGCTCTGCTTTCTGCCCAGAATCTCACAGCTCCTCCCCAGATCTCAAACACAGCCCTGTTTAAAAGTCAACTTCTCCAGGAGGCCTCCTCCCCATAATCACTCTGAAATCGTATTCCACACCCCTCACCGGACATTTTCCACATTCAACACCGTATTTGTCTGTACAAGGTAAATCCACAAGGGCAGGTTTTGTCTGCCTTGCCCCCTGCTGCACAGCACACTAGCAGTGCTCAGGAGAGGCCCACAGACATCTGCTGATTCACCACCAACCTGGTCTGTTTCCATCACCATTCTTCCATGTGCCAACACTGTATGTTTAGTTCTGTCTACCTGTTTCACATCCAGTTCCCATACAGCAACTGATTCCCTCTTTTGTGTTGTTGAGGTAGTCTATCACTAGCCCAGGCCAGACTAGCCTTGAACTTGCATGTATCCCGAGGGCTGGGATTACAGGCCGCCACCACACCTGACTCTGGTATCTCCTAAATCCAACAACATTCCCGATACATTTCCTGTCTTTACTGAATACATCCACACAGGCACCTTAAAACTAGATTATTCTCATTAACAGGAGAGGCCTGCCTGCGTCAATCAGCAAGTCAGAGACCCAGACGCACAAGACCAGACTGTGTGACACGGGAACTGAGCCTTCCGCCGTGGCACATGTTCTCAGTGCACCATGGAGAAACTGAGGCCTCAGAGAGGATGCCAACTAACAAAGGGAGGCCCCCCTCTTCCACAGCCACTACCCCAAACCACAGCTAACATTTAGGGCCCAAACCAGCAGCCAGTTCTATTTCATGACTGCATTTCCTCAACAACCCAGGGAAGCCAGGACTATTATTAGGTGGAAAACGGCAGCCAGGGGCAATGGAAGAACAAGCACTCAAGGTCGGGTGGGGATGCGGCCCTGCGGGGTCGTCTTCTGGGACCCACAGGGGTCACTCTGCCCAAGCACCCCGTTTTGCAATTGCCCCCAAACGGCGTGGACAGGTGGGTGTGTAGGGGTGACTGATGGATCCTCGGTTCGGTTAATTCTCAGAGCATGTGTTCGCCCCCTCCTCCAGGAGACACCCCACAAAACTTCAGTCCCCATGTGGCCGGACTGCAGAAAACTCTAGAAGCCGAGCAAACTCCACCCGGTCTCCAGCACCCAGCCGGGCCTCCGGGGAGGGGACACCCCGCTCCCAGTCCATCCCCAGGCCCCGTCCATCCGTCCGTCAGTCCCCGGGCCCCGTCCGTCCATCCGTCCATCCTCGGGTCCCCTGCATCCATCCCCGCGCCCCGTCCGTCCGTCCCCGCGCCATCTCATCCCCCGGAGACCACTCTCTGTCCGCCGCCAGTCACCGAGCGGTGCCGGCCGACCCCCAGCAGGCCATGGGCCGAGCTGGCCCAGACCCCGGGCAGCCGCGCGCACTCGGCAGGCCCGGGACCCTCACGGCTTGTCCTCCACGGACGGCCGGCAGCCAATCACGGACGCCGTGTTATAGGGCGCGGCACCCGGAGGGATGAGAGCTGCGCGCGGATTGGCCGGCGCGGCCTTCCGCCACTCCAGGGAACGCAGAGCCGCCGCTCCTTCCCTGACTGCCCGGGTTCCCGGCCCCGCTCGCCCCGCAGACGCCAACGGAAGGCTCCCCGCACCTGGACGTCCTCGTTGCGGAGCTCATCGATGAGCACCGCAATGGGGTAGAGCGAGTCGTCGCCGTCGGCCGCTGCCATCTTGGCTAGGTGGCGTTCCTGTCAGACTGCGGCCACCGCCGGAGGAATCCGGGACTCGTGCGGGGCGGTGCCGGGGAAGGACGCAGGGCGGGCGTGGGGGCGCCCAAGCCGCGCTACAGGGGCTAGCCCGCCGCCATTGGCCGCGCCGGGCCCTTCTGTTTGGTCCGAACACACCAAGTCCCGCCTACTTCCCATTCACTATTGGTCGGACGAACGAGATTGGCTTGTCTCTCGCGGAGCGGAACCGGAAGTGATCGTATCTTAGCGACCACTACCATGTCCGCCTACGTCGCCGCTAGCAACCGCGGAGACGGGCAGCGCGTTTAGCCAATGAAAGCTGAGCGTAGGATTGGGGGCGCGGAGAAAGCTTGGCGCTGGGCTGGGTTGGGAGGGATGCGTGACGTCACGGAGAGTCTAGCTTGGGCTGGGAAGCTGCGGCGGTGACCGACCTGGTCCAGCTAGCGTCTAGGTAACTAGTGAGAAATTAGCCGTACAGGAAGTTACGGAGGGTGGTCCCTTCCCCGGTCATCATCAGCTTTGGCGCCCGCCTCCCTTGTTCCGCCAATACTGATGATACAGTGTAACCATTTCCCCCATAATTGAAAATAACCACGGAGAAAGGTGCAGGCCCGTTGAGGAAAGGCTGTACTCTTGGCAAAGCATGCCTGTTTTTACAGTTTTCATTTTATTTTTTCATTAACTATTTCGTCAAAGGCGTGGGTTCTGAGTGGTTCTCTGGATAGCAGGAAGTGGCTTTCTAAAGAACAAAGACATACCTTCCCGCCCCACCCCCAGGAGTTCATCCAAACGGGCCTGTCAATCACTGTAATGGGAAGCCAAGCCTTTGGAGGCCTTGCTGTCCCAGGAAACTTGACATTGAGCAGGGTCTGGTGGCCCCAGGACTTTTCCCAGCACTGGGGGAGGCAGAGCAGGCAGGTCTTTGTGAGGTCGGAGGTCAGCCTGGTCTACATACTGAGTTCAAGGCCAACTGGGGCTACAGAGAGACCTGTCTCAAAAAAGACCAAAAAAAAAAAAAAAAGTATAAAGTGTATCTCAATATGGAGGTTGGCACAATGGTCCAATTGTCCACCGTCTACAAGGGATGTTTTCTTCTTTAACCCTCTCTCCGGACGCTCTCCACTTTGATTTCTTCTGTTATCAGCTCTTCTACATTCACTTCATGGGTCTCTTCTGAAATCAACAGAAAACAAGAGCCTCAGACCCCAGTGGAGGCTCAGAAGAGACTTAGTAACAGTCCCTTCTCCGTGGAATGTCATTACTATTAGGTCTTCGTAGCAATCTCTGCCTTTCCTGCCTTATCTCATTTCACACATAAGAGACTCCAGTCTCATGCAGAACTACCTTAGGGAGGGCATTTCTTCATGAAGCCCTGGGATCTTTAAGGACCACAAGATGGGGGTGGGTTGTGTTGCCACGAAGTTGTCATTGGTTCTGGACTTGTCAGGGGCTAATGTGCATTTTTATAAGTCTTGAATTCATATGAACATTTTAAATCAATTTATGTGAATTATGAAAGTCCAAATAGAAGCTAATATTTTCACTTAGCCACATTGTGATTTTTTATTTATATGATATACCCTTTTATCTCTGATGTTGAAAACCCCCTAATTTTTAGTGACATTGACAGTTATATATCTGAATTTGGGAATATGTGTGTTTGTGCATATATATAATTATATGTTTCATGATTATATTTTAGGATAGCTTTACATTTTGAAACATTGAATTTTTAAGTATATAAAATATATAATAGGAATACACATTATATAATTACATGTTCTGTATATTAGGACAAAAATATATAAAGAGCATTATGTTTAATAGTTTCAAAATGACCAGCAGAATTACTAGTCAGTCTACTAATTCTGGCTTAACACGTCTCTATGTTTTTGGGTTTTTGTTTTGTGTTTTTGACATTGAGAATATTTCCACTTGAGGACTAGGCTGTAACTCAGTGGTAGAATGCTTACCTAGGATACACAAAGCCCTGAGTTCAATCCTCAGCACAAGAGAGAGGAAGAAAGGAAGACATCTCCCACTTGATATGTAGGCAAACTGCTGTATTTTAAATATTTTTTTATTTGTGTGTGTGTGTGTGTGTGTGTGTGTGTGTGTGTGCGTGTGTGTGTGTGGAGGTTGTATCTCTACAAAGCCCTGTACA